CAAATACAGCTATAGGAAAATATTAATGAAGTAAAGTAGATGACAAAATGTCCACCCCAGCTAATTTATCATCCCAAACCAGCAGGCTCAGCAACTTTTCAAGATAGTCGTCATTTTTATTCCTATGGCTAGAGTCATGGAGAAGGGGAAAAAGGAAAATGGCCCGGACTTACTTTAACTATTTGATCCACCGCAGAGCTGATATCAGACAGAGAGGCCTCCAGACAGCCGAAGGCGGCAGCCATCTTCTCAAAATTTGGATTTCGAACGGACTGAGATTTGGTGGATGGATTATCCGATGTCTGTCTGAGCTGCTTTAACCGAGAGCCTGGTTGCGAGTGATTGGAATCGAGGCCAACTGGCACGGATTTGGAACATTCTTCCTTTGACAAAAGCGATGGAAGCACATCCACTTGGTCATTGACTACCAGGTTATCAGAGGTCTGACTCACGTTCGCGAACGTCGAATGGCCTACAGCGGAGTCAGCAGCTGTTGTCCGTCCATTCTGACGAAATGATGTACTACAAACCTCTTCACTGGCACTCGTAAAGCTCTGGTCTTCTTTGGCCAAAGTGGAAGTGGCTTGCAGAAAGGATAAAGCACCGCTTGCTCTCAGGAGGCTAGTGCGCATGCTAGCCTGTATCTCACGGAGACGGGAGCAAGCAGCTCCGGAATCAGAAAGGGCGCGCAGCCACTGAGGGCTAATGCAAGAAATACGAGGGTCCGCAAGGCTTGAGCCTTTGGAGTCTGGGAGCGGGGCGGTTGAAACAGCCGCAGTCTCATTCGGGGCACCAGAACATGCCAGGTAAGCTCCGGAGTTCGAGCCCTTAGCTTTGCTTATCTCACCTGAACAGGGGTAGGAGTATGCAGAACAAGGAGCAATGAACAGAGAGTTCCAAAAGGGGCTCAAATCAATTGTAGAGATCCCTGAACAGGCCTGCTAAAAGTTTAAACTAATGGCCGATTAATAAGTTGTACCTTCTCAAATGGTTACATCGTGACATGGCTTACTTCCAATTCAATGAGGAATAATGTGAATAAGCTATGAGGTGCAGTTACATTAAGAGACGAAAAAAGTAGTGTAAAAAAATTGTCGACTCAAAGAAACAACTCATTGGAAGTAAGTAGTGAAGTGCTCTCGCCAGAAACCCAAAGATTGCCTTGGAGTAAAGAATGTTGGAGAGATTGTGGGTATGGGTGATTATGATTGCAACCGATTATCTTTTTTGGTTTCGCGTATTGGCTTTAGTGTGTTTTGGTGTCCGTCTTAGAGTCGTCTGTTACGATAAAACAGACAAAAACTCAGAACGGATTCACTAAGAACGAAGGATGATGTGCCAAATACTTCTTAGTACGATCCTCCTTC